TGTGGTATTGTGTAATAAGGTCGGTTTAAGTTGTGTTGCGTTTGTGGTGTAATGTGATGCATATGTGGCTATGGGCTGTAGAGAATGTGTGTATTGGGGATATAGCAAGTGTGTGCATACAGGCTATAGTGTGTGTGTGTGTTTAGGGGTGTAGAATGTGTTTGCTTACAAGGAATCTAGTGTGTGTATAGGGGATCCAGAGTGTGTATGTTAAAGGACCACTATAGTGCCAGGAAAACATACTCGTTTTCCTATGGATGCTTGCATGCTCTCACTGTGATTTTCACAGTGAAAAGCACGCAAGCACCACTAGCGGCTGTCAATGAGACCGCTGCTAGAGGCTTTGGGGGAAGGCTTAACCCATTGATAAACATAGCAGTTTCTCTGAAACTGCTAGGTTTATAAAACAATGGGTTAACCCTAGAAGGACCTGGCACCAAGACCACTTCATTAAGCTGAAGTGGTCTGGGTGGCTAGAGTGGTCCTTTAAGAGTGTAGTGTGTGCGTGTATACATACATATATATATATATATATTTGGAAGTATTGTGTATGTTTGTGGTGCAGTGTGTTGGGGGGGGTTCTGTGTGTATGTGAGGGGTGCAGTATGTGTGTGTGAGAGTGCGGTGTGTGATGGGTGTGAGAGTGCCGTGTGTGAGTGATGGGTGTGAGAGTGCCGTGTGTGAGTGAAGGGTGTGAGAATGCTGTGTGTGAGTGATGGATGGGAGAATGCCATGTGTGAGTGATGGGTGTGAGAATGCTGTGTGTGAGTGATGGATGTGAGTGTGCTGTGTGAGATGGGTGTGAGAGTGCTGTGTGTGTGAGTGCTCTGTGAGAGTGATGGGTGTGAGAGTGCTGTGAGAGAATGCTGTGTGTGATGGGTGTGAGAGTGATGGGTGTGAGAGTGCTGTGTGTGATGGGTGTGAGAGTGCTGTGAGAGTGTTGTGTGTGTGTGAGTGCTCTGTGAGAGTGCTGTGAGTGTGATGGGTGTGAGAGAGTGCTGTGTGTGTTAAAGTGCTGTGTGTGATGGGTGTGAGAGTGCTGTGTGAGAGAGAGTGCTGTGTGTGATGGGTGTGAGAGTGCTGTGTGAGAGAGAGTGCTGTGTGTGTGTGAGAGTGCTGTGTGTGTTAAAGTGCTGTGTGTGATGGGTGTAAGAGTGCTGTGTGAGAGAGAGTGCTGTGTGTGTGTGAGAGTGCTGTGTGTGATGGGTGTGAGAGAGTGCTGTGTGTGATGGGTGTGAGAGTGCTGTATAAATGTTATTGTGTGTATGTAGGGGGGGTAAATAATAAAAAAAAACAGGTATTATTCCCCCCCCTCCCTTCTTACCTTTAGCCTGGGAGGGGGGGACCGGCACGCTGGGACTGGAGGCGGGGAGGCAGTGTTCCCTGGTGGTCCTCGTGGGTGAGTGAACTCCTCGCGAGATCCGGTCGTTGCCATGGCAACGCGCCGGATCTCGCGAGAGGATCCCGGCGGAACCGCAAATTAGAGCTCCGCCGGGTCCTCTCTCCAGCCTAGCTGGCTGTCTCCCTCCCTCCCCGCCGGCGGCCGCATGTGGGCCGGTCAGGGAGATCCTTGATCCCCCCACCGGCCCGTCGTGGCAGACAGCTGGGCCGGCGCTAGGAGAGTGCCGGCCCTGCATAGACCGGCAGGGGAGATCCTGGGACCTACCCTGCCGGCCTCGGCCCCACGGCCACCGCGGCCCACCGGGCATTTGCCCGGTGTGCCCGATGGCCAGTCCGGGCCTGCTCTCCAGAGGAAAGCTCAGGTAAACACGTTACCAAAAAGGGGTTAACTATATATGTTTTATCAGTAAAAGTAGAACTGTGATACTATAATTCTCCTGTGTGTGGGGTAACCTAAGACGCCCGGGTTTAAAAGTCTTGGTGGTGGCAGTAGTACTAAGGGGGATAGTGTAGAAGGGATTGCAGGGTTTAATTGAGTGGTTGCTGGGACTAGCAACAGGTAACCAGGGGTCTGGTGTCATTAACCCTGTCACTTCCACACTCTCCCCACTGTCTCGGCTGGGCCTATAGCCCACGCTCGTGACAAACTGGCGGCAGCTAGTGGGATATATTTAGAGATTTTTAGTGCTTGCTAGATTTTACCTGTAAAGGGGGTCTTAGCACTAAAAGAAATTACATACTTGTTTTTGTGTAATTTCCAAAGACCAAGCTCAGTGCTGATTTAAAATACATACAAAGTGCAAAACAGTTCTCCCCTCCCATCTTTTGTTTTTCTTTCTCTATCCTATTTGTGAATATGGAGGCCTATTGCAAACAATCAAAAGAGGCCTTGGAATTGTTGTGCCAAGAAAAGAATTTACCAACTTTTGGCAAAAATAAGGCACAACTTATTGCTGACCTTGTGGAGGCTGACAGCCATATTTTCCAGCCAGAGATGGATACTGAAAGGGTTACCGAGCTCCCTACTACTGCAGGAGTGTTGCTTACTGAAATGCCTGGTGGTTGTACCCCTCAAAACATTAAGGACATTTGCTCAACTGATTTATTTCAGCAACTGATGGCTGCAAATCCTCAGGAGGCCCTGCATGTGATGATCCAACAGCAGGCTGCAGAAAGGGAATCTGCAGAGAGGCTAGCCGAAAGGGAAGCGCAAAGGCATGCTGCAGAAAGGGAATCTGCAGAGAGGCTAGCCGAAAGGGAAGCGCAAAGGCATGCTGCAGAAAGGGAGGCACAAAGGAGACATGAGCTGGAACTTGCTAAACTGCAATTTACCCTTCAGTCCTCACTGAACAGCAATGCATCAGAGTTCAGCATACGTAGGCTCCGTAAGGATGATTTTCCTTCCCTCGAAGAAGGGACAGATTTGGATGTATTTTTAAAAAGTTTTGAGAAAGTATGCAGGCAGCATCAACTACCCTCAGACCAGTGGGGCAGATATTTAACTCCACAACTGAAAGGGAAAGCCTTGGATGTGTTTGTGTCCCTTCCCCCAGAGACTGATAACAACTATGAGGCAATCAAATCTGCATTGCAAAAACTTTTAACCTTACTCCTGAGTCTTACAGGAAAAAGTTTAGGAGTATGCAGCAATGCCCATCATCCAGCTGCATTCTATATATTGCACAATTAGAAACCACGTTCCGGCAATGGGTAACAGGAGTACAAGCTACTACCTATGAAGCCCTTAATGACTTAATGGTCCTGGAGCAGTTCTTGCAGACCCGGAGTCCTAATGTAAGAGAGTGGATTTTGGAAAGAAAGCCAAAAAATGCTAGGGCTGCTGCAGAACTGGCAGATGACTATGCCGACATCCATGCACCCACATCCAGGCGTGGACTTGTGTCAGCTGCTACTTCGACCTGGAGAGAAGCTACAGTTCAATCACCACCTGTAAGATCTGCAGTGAGAACTTCACCACCGACTGCCAGCGTAGCCAGGGCTATATCAAGTGAGTCAGATGCCCGCCGTTGTTTTCGATGCAACCAGATTGGTCATCTGAGCAGGACTTGCCCCACGAGGAATATACCCTCACCAGCCCGTGGAGGGGCACCATCAGTTTTGCTTGTGGGTGGGTCTGTGGGGAAACGAGAGGATAACCTGCAGAGTGTAATTGTGGGTGACCGAGTGACCATGGGACTGAGAGATTCTGGAGCTTCCTTCACCCTGGTGCGACCTGAAGTGGTGAATACGGAGGACATAATCCCTGGAAGGACCATGTCCATCAAAGGAATTGGGGGTGTACGCCCCGCTGTGCCCTTGGCACGTGTGTACCTTGATTGGGGTGCGGGCAAAGGTTTGCGGGAAGTGGGGATTTCAGAGGATATCCCTGTTAATGTTCTGTTGGGGAATGATTTGGGCAGGATGCTCTGTCACTATGCTCCAGCGGACACTGTTTGTGAGCCAGAAGGGCTGACTGCTCCACCTAAGGTATTGTGTGAAACTTTGGGAGACATTGTGAAGTGTGATTGCTGGGAGGGAGAGCAGGGTGTGGATAAATATCTACCTGTAACTGAACCAGTGATGTCTACCAAATGTGAGATAGGGGTGAGTAGTGATGTGCCTGTATCAAAATACTGTGAGGCTGGGATGTCAGAGAGTAAGGGGGAGGAGGAAGGTGAGAGCCAGGGATGTGTACCACTAGTCGCAGTGGTAACAAGTCAACAGTGGGTCAGGGCTGCAGCAGGACAGTCTGAGGTGCTATGTGAGATTGTGAGAGGAGGGCCTGCCTCGGAGAAGAAATTATGTGAGTGTGTGCAAAATTCTGTATCTGATCAAGGGGGGTCAAATGTGTCCTGTGAAAATGTATGGGAAAAGCCTTCCAGCGAGAGGGGGCTGAATGAATATATGTGCCAATATGTGCCTGAAGCAGATGTATGTGATGTGGTGGGTGAAAATGTGAAGGGACAGCAAGGCTATAAGGGAGGGCAGAGGGTGTGTGAGCTTTACTGTGCGCCAGACTTAGCCAGTTTCCAAAGTTCTGTATGTGTGATGACCTGGAGTGAAAGTGAGGGGCACGGACAGACTCAGCCTGTGGGTCCAGGAAGGATGGCTGCAGGGAAACATACTGTTGGAGGAACCAGGAACCTTGTCAGTTCATCACAACTCACGCATACACCTAAGCAACCTTCTGATTGTGAACCAAAGGTTCAGAGTCTGATAGTGCAACAAGCCCAGCAGACAGACCGCAAAATAAAAGAGATGATGGATGTTGATACAGCACATCTATCCTGGGAGTGTTCTCTGTCTGCTTTTTTTGTGTGCTTACCGGGGAGTGCTGCAGAAATCCATTGGTTTCTTCCCTTTACAGCTACTACATGAGCGCAGTGGATGTGGTTTAAGGGATGTTACCAGAGATCGATGGGGAATTGAAACAGGCAAATCAGGCATGTTTGAGGATGTAGCTGTGGTATGGACTGATCACAACCTGCTGCAGGTGACAGGTAACACTGATAAACTGCTCATTGGAGCCCTATCCTCCAACAGTATAATTTCACTGCCCAGCACAAAAAGGGCAGATGGCCTGTCTCGGCAACTAGAGGGTTAATGGTAGACAGATAAATCAGCCTGTGGCTGAATTTTTCTGTCCACCATCTTAAGGGGGAGGTGTCATGTCAAAAGCATGAGTTGGTGTTTGATGTGTGTTTATATATGTTAAGAATAGTTTTTTTGTAAACCTTGGGATGACATTTATTGTGGTCTTTGATCTTGCACCAGGCCTAGACCATAAAACATCTAGATAGCCATCACCAGAGCTGGACACAAGGAATTTCATAGAGTGGACAATAGACTGCCAGACCAGCCAGCTCTGATCCCCCCCAGGGGTCTGCCCACTGAGAAACAACTAGTTTAGATATATGAGGGTGTTGGACTATCCAGGAGGTCAGTTATTCATTTTTCTTTTGTCAGTAACTTCTAGGAGCTATACCATCTAAGACTCCCACAAGAATTCTATATGGGGTAAATATATGTAAGGAATTTCTTGTGTTTTCTCCTATTTTATTTTATGTACTGTTTTGCAATTTGTTATCTGTATGTCATTTATCTCTGTATTTTGTACTCAGCACTGTGAATCCTTTTTGTCAGATTAAATGTTTACTTAATCAGCTTGTGTCTCTGTTCTCTATGAGCTTCACTCTCCAGAGGAAAGCTCAGGTAAACACGTTACCAAAAAGGGTTAACTATATATGTTTTATCAGTAAAAGTAGAACCGTGATACTATAATTCTCCTGTGTGTGGGGTAACCTAAGACGCCCGGGTTTAAAAGTCTTGGTGGTGGCAGTAGTACTAAGGGAGTTAGTGTAGAAGGGATTGCAGGGGTTCATTGAGTGGTTGCTGGGACTAGCAACAGGTAACCAGGGGTCTGGTGTCATTAACCCTGTCACTTCCACACTCTCCCCACTGTCTCGGCTGGGCCTATAGCCCACGCTCGTGACACTAGTAATAACTGATAATCTATATTATCCAATAACAGTAATGCCTAGTAATAACTGATAATCTATATTATCCAATAACAGTAATGCCTAGTGTAATGGATCCTAGTATCCCAGTATGCGAGATCCTTGTAGCTTCTCCCGAAATCCCAGTTGAAGTAGAGCAGAGTAGTGATTATAGCTCTTAATCCCTCAAACATGAGTCGAGACTTCATGAATGGGTAAAACGATCTGTTTAATGGTGGCCACAGCTTGGCCTTTTATGCAGGTCCTCCAGCAAGGGATACTCCCACAGGGACCTTGTGGAGGACTGAAACACAAGTTACCGTTAACAATCATTTTACAATGCAATATAAAACACACCCACATAAACAGTGAAATCCCTCCTCTCTATTCTAAGGATAAATGGGTTGAGTGGCCAGAGTAAACTTAATTATCTCCAGGTAGATAAAATGTTTCCATTTTACAAATGTAACAAAATACAATAAAATACATAACTAATTTTTTACTGAAAGGAACCCCCACATTCGATATATCCCCAGATAGCTTGGATCTGAGCACTCAATATAGACGAACAGCGCTCAGATCCCACGAACACAGTCAAATCGCCATGGAGCTAAAGAGTCTGTTCACCGGCTGTTCGTTAGAAATACGCCCAGAATTAGCTCCATGGATTTAGCTATCTGGGTCGGTTCAGTTCGTATGTTCTGAATGTACCGAACGGCACGGCGTTCGGTTAAATGGAGACGAAACGATGGATGTTCCAGCGGTGTTCGTGGGAAATTGTGGCCAAAAATAGTTCCACGCGGTCGATGGCCAAACACCGCTGGGCATTCAGTTTAAAATGGCCGTCGACATGTATTCATTCAAACGAACAACGACCACCCAGCCATACAAGGGGAAACACACAATATAAGAGGAAAACACACAACTAAGCAGTGGTTCTGCCACACAGAGCAATACTGTAACTGGGGGGACAGAGCAATACTGGAACTGGGGAGACAGAGCTATACTGTAACCTGGGGGGACAGAGCTATCCTGGAACTGGGGGGACAGAGCAATACTGTAACTGGGGGGACAGAGCAATACTGTAACTGGGGAGGCAGAGCTATACTGTAACCTGGGGGGACAGAGCTATACTGTAACCTGGAGGGACAGAGCTATACTGGAACTGGGGGGACAGAGCAATACTGTAACTGGGGGGACAGAGCAGTACTGGAACTGGGGGGACAGAGCAGTACTGGAACTGGGGAGACAGAGCTATACTGTAACCTGGGGGGACAGAGCTATACTGGAACTGGGGGGACAGAGCAATACTGTAACTGGGGGCACAGAGCGATACTGTAACTGGGGGGACAGAGCGATACTGTAACTGGGGGGATAGAGCAATACTGTAACTGGGGGGACAGAGCAATACTGTAACCTGGGGAGACAGAGCTATACTGTAACCTGGGGGGACAGAGCTATACTGTAACCTGGGGGCACAGAGCGATACTGTAACTGGGGGCACAGAGCGATACTGTAACTGGGGGACAGAGCAATACTGGAACTGGAGCGACAGAGCTATATTGTAACTGGGGGGACAGAGCTATACTGGAACTGGGGAGACAGAGCTATA